TCGAGAGAGCCGTGTTAGTGTAGCTTATCTTAGGAGACCTTATATCGTCGCCAACCGTAAAGTTTCCGAATGAGCCGTGGTTGTCGTCCCCACGTCATGACGAAAGACTTGTGAGCGAGTTTCATATAGCGTAAGAAGCCGACAACTTGATAAAAGCTTATGTTTCTGGGAGAGCGTGCGACGAAGATTGTTTACCAATACGCATAGAAATTAATGGCTTTCTGATCATTCTAGGTAGTACGACAACTACCTAGATCATTCAGTCCGGATAGGGACGTTCGTCGATAACTAAATGAAGCACAATTACCATGCCGATCTATCCCATCCAGGGAAGTAAACGAGTTAAATGCAATGTCACCTGATGTGGCGAATGCTCGGAGTATCTGTACCACACGCGATCCGGCGCTTTGTGTTTTTGGTAGACTGTCAAAGTCGTTTTATTGCCGGGAAGCTTGGAAAACGATCGATGTAAAGTTTTAATCAAATTATTGTATTTCCACCTCTTATTTCAGTCAATTCCATCTGGCTGCAGTGTGGCCTAAGGTACCGAAACATGCAATCACTCAGCGTCCTTCTTATACGTGAGTTCGTTCGTCGCACAAGCTTTGTTCGACTTTACACGTCCTTGGCCTGGGAAAACTAAGTGTATGTGTTGTGTTTCTTGGATTACAGCATCTTGAAACCAGAGGGTGCGCCAGAATGGTATTTGCAATTGTTTCTCGGGACGTCGCACGCAGATAGACTCAGTAAGTCTGACTATTCACAGTTGGCATCCCACCTTTGGGATTGGATATTATGGGTCGCTTTACTAAAAATAATAGTTTTCTCGCTAAGAAATATAAGGAAAAAGTCTACTCGGAGTATTACCGCACCGATCCAGGTGCTGTTCACACTAACTTGTGTGCGATTCCGACATCCAGCGCTTTGCAGCTACCCACTGATAATTCAGTAGCTTACGGCTGTTGCATGATAAAAAGAATAGATGTCAGATAGCGCCTTGTTTTCGCCACGTGACCCCGCTCCCGAATAGGCAGGCCACCGGTTCCAAACCCGAGAGTAGTGGCAGTACTGGCCTGAAGGTCCGACATCTGCCTCGACTTGCTCTGTCTAGGCTTGAGCAACTTTGAAGTATCCCGCCTCTCGGGCTTCCTTAAGGTGGCATGGCAGCTAGACACCGAAAGGGTACCAAAGCTGAACTATTATCTTATTGTTGATTACTGCAAGTTGATGCCACCCGCGTCTTTCCATGCTGATGGTTTTGGTATGAGAATTAGCCCACTGCTTGTACAAAGAGCCCCATAATCAATACATTGCCGCGATTCGGTGTCCATACGAATATCATCCTTCACCCTGTTTGCTGACTCGGTGGGCAAGGATGGAGAACAATGCGAGGGGAACTGGTCATCTCATGTACTCCTATCAGCTGTTTTCATACGCTTCGTGATAGGATGCTAGAAATGTGTATCTGAGTAGAACCTGGGACAAATAATCAAGCGTCACTTAGTAGCAAAGCATGTCCGTATTTTTGCGTTAGTCGCCCCACCTGTTCAGAAGTAGCTTTCCCACGAAATCCACTGTTTCCACTTGTGCGCAATTACGGTTTCATGTGTGCTGTCCGACATGTCTTTTTTCCGTTGCATTTTACCTGACTTTCTCGAATAATGACTAGTAGTCCAATAAGCGAAACCGGCCATATCGAAAAATTGAAGCTAACTGTATATCATCCGCGGAAAAATGCACACGTACCGTTTACCGTTGAGTTGCAAGTTTCCATGGCGATTTGAACATTTATCTAGTAATTTGTTTTATCTTATTACTAGTCACCTTGTCATACCGTACTTTCATGTTGCCAGGCTTAAATTATAAAGAAGTACATCTACCAAAGCTTTGATCAAATTGTTACGATCCGGGTTATGCAATTTCATGTTGTGCCGCCCAAATGAACTTTTCCAGTTGCGGTCATGTCGTAGCAGCGTATGTTTGGTGTGGTGCAGGATATTCCCGCCTTCATTGCCGAGCGATAATTGTTGATCCTCCAAGTGGTAGTATGAGCTGAGCTCGGATACCTTGGCTGACCTTGAAACTGGATTGGGTCGGTGTAGGTTGACTGTCCGAAGCAAACATGTCATCGTAAACGTTGCCTGTTCAAGGCCCCATATTGTTAGGTTGGCACTGACCAACCGAAACACACCTAGCCGTCGATTTGCTATGTCGGATATCAAGCTAGTACTGGATATCATCGGCACAGTTCAGCAGCAGCTTGAAAATTTGCGGCTTCCAGGCCTCGTAACGCAGACGATCGCCGTTTGCTCCACACTGTACTAGTTCGATGTCGAGCCGTGGTGTGAGCCTAGTGGGTAGATATAGATGAGCGGCACTACAAAACGGCTCACAAACATCTGCGTGAACGTGATTGATCAAAACATATGATGGACATACTGTGGAATGTTTCAAGAACGCAGAGCACACTTAATGAAGTAGACCAATGAGGCGAACGCCCGAGTGTGTTCGAATCCCCCTGGGAACGTGGACTTACCTTCGTATGCATTTCGGTAGTGAATGATCTATGTGAAGTTTTCGGTGGGTGTCCTCAATGCGTTCCTCTGATATCACCCACTGAAGGACATCCAACGCCAGTTAACATAGTACTAATCGGGTGAAGCCTCTGAAAAACTGGGCGCGACGTCGAACTATTTTCCACAGCTTACCGAGGCTCGATCCCATACAGGCAGTCAGTTGTAAATTAAACGAACTGTTCGACTGTCATTTTGTTGGTAGGACCCTTGAAAGGCGGCTTGTCACATGGATGGTGAAGATCACCGTTGTTGTATCCGTTACACGGTTTTATAATTGTTTATTTTTGTCTGTTTTCTCCTGAGGTTTCATGTGTGAGCTTTTCGGCTCTATTCATCAGGAACTCAGCGATTCTTGCAGTAACCCCTTCAGCCAGAAATCACCCTTGAGACCAACGAAAATTCCTTCTTGTTAATTTAACCTCTGTGGCAAATGTTCCATCTGGATAAAGCCACAGGAGCACAGACCACAGAATGACGACCTTTCGTTTTTATCTCATCAGCCCGTCACTGGAAATGATCATTTAACCATAATTTAACGATCTGAATAAATCAGATCGGCCTATTTATCTCCAGGGCTGGTTGATTGCGCATTTCGAGGTTTTTATCCGGTAGTGGATAACCACCGTTACCTGACGCTAACAATTTTGCGGCTCAATAGTGGGCAGTTTTGGAGGACAATGTGACGGACCTGCTTTGCAGCCGATGAGACCGGTTTCGAGCTTGGGTTTGCACTCCAATCGATCGTTCGGTCAGCGGACCAAAATATTTTGACTTTTCTATTTTTTCTACCTTTATGGTGTTAGCTATGAATCAAGCTTAACGATTTCTGTTTTAAATTGTATGGCCATGATATTTTGTCATGGAGATGGAACTCCGTCAAATCTTGGTTCTTTCCAACGATTTGCCTTGAATTTTTTGGTTTCCTGGGTTGCTGTGTGCATGTAGCGATTTTTTTCTGGACAGTTTTGTGCCGTCGAATGATGTTTCAAGGTATCAGTCAAGAGTGTTGGTTGTGGAGCTATATCCAACGCAGATTTCATCTTTTTATGTTTGATACAGCCTCGGGATTTTAATCTGGATATTGAATGAACAAATGCTGGTTCTCCTGAAGTGCAAGGTGTATTGCTGTGGTTATCTATTGTACGTGCGCGCGCATGAAATTTGGATATTCAATGCCTCTCCTTTTTTCTCCTTAGGTTCTCGTCTCAAGTGCTTCTCACAAGCCTGTCTACATGTGCCCGAACCCCAAGCCCGTCGTCCACACACTCGAACGTTTTCCACCATAAGTAAGCTGCCCATCTTCAGATTGCCTCTGTTAGCTTGGTGCTGAAGTTTTATGATTTTGTGATTTCTCGGACAACGAGTACAAAGGCCATTCAATTAAGTGAGCCTTTTCTATGGATTTCTTTCTTGCTTTACATTTTGCCAGTCACTATGTCGCTCTGTTGTTACCTTGTCTTTGAGCTTCCCGAATTTCCTGGCTTGGTGCCGATCTTCCACGCTTGCGGAACCTGCTTCGCGGTCATTCACTGCCTGCTGCACACCAACCCAAATCATCTCCTGACACTCCGGAGTACAAGCTACTTGGAGAGCAAATTATTCACCATTTACTGGTACGTACCCCTTAATCATTCTACAGCGAACTAGACTTAACTATCCCCTGGTTACCTGGTTCGTCTCCAACCTTAGTGTCATACCAGTGACCTGGAAGTACTTGATCTCTGGTTGATAGGATGTTAATGGTAGAGTGAAGCCAGTTGCAACAGTACACGGAACTCACAGATGAGCTTATACTGTCAACTCACTCATGAGGTGATTCGGGTCTTGGCGAATTCCAGCGTAGAAACGAACATTTGTGTGAGAGCATCGAAATTTGCCTACGTGTGTCCTTGCATAGCCCATGCTAGGTTTTAGTTAGGATCACTTGAGCACCAACCAGGGTCCTGGATGCATAAGAATCACGCGAGGTTAGTGTTTTCTCCCTGATTTTGCTGTCACTGGCGTTCGGCGTTATGTGACGGTTGAACGAGTGCAGTGCCTGAGTGGTCTATCCAGTCTTGAGTATTTTACCGACAGGTGACAACAGGGCAGAAAATTCGGGGCGAAAACAGACAAGCTGATATGTCAACACCTTCCACTCTTCACAACTGTTTTTATTCAACATATCTGCGACGAGAAGATTACGATTCATGGCCTCAAGACTATCCATTGGTATTGAAACTTTGTCCACCTTAAGACAGCCCATTTAGTCGAAGATAGGCGCACGGGACATTCATAACCTGGGATTTCCTCACGACAATGAGGCATCGGTGTTGAACACTGACGTCATGCTGTCGATGATGATGATTTCCCCACGGGAATACTCGTTTTCATGGCTAGACATACATGAGCTACCCATGATTCTGCCTCGCCCATATGGCATAATCTTGCACCCATCTAACCATCATTGGATTATCCATCTTTTAGAACTTTGCTAGCCTTTATCTGGTAGTGATCGGGTTTTTTCGTGGGGAAAGTTGATCAGTTATGTAAACAGTCTTTGGTAATATGACCCACTCAACCCTGCACTGACGATGTCACCTCGATTGGTGATGAAACGTTTGCAATCCAACTGCCAAGCTCGGCGAACAGACCAACAACCAAACAGCGCACCCGAGCTACCTACATTCCATAACATTGCTAATTCTGAATAAGCTAAGCTGGACTAAAAAGCTCACCTGAGGTATCAAAGTGCTCGTGTGATTTTGAAGTGGTGCACATGAGAGGAGTGCGTTCTTTGGAAATTTTTCAACCTTTCACAAAACCACGAAAAGTTATCTGTGATGGGGGTTTTGTTCCTCTGAGTAAGCAAAAGCTGTTTCGCTTGGATTTCAAGGACACCTTCTTTGGTGACCCAGCGGATTGCCCATTTGAGTTTCTGACCTGTTTCACAACCAGTTGATATCGTCAGAGTCGCTGTAATTTACCTCATCAGACGAACAACTCTGTTTTACCGTAGTTGGCGCATTAAACCGGACGAATGCTGTGTAGGTTGGTGTTTCGTCCACAAAAACTATGCCCACCATCTGACTATAGCAATCAACCACCCTTCTTCTAACTACTTTTGTGTGCGAGTAGTGTGAAAAACCAATCGCATAGCAGTGTTTCCGAGGTATTTCTCCGTCAACACACTATCTCGTTCAATAGCACTCTTGTACGCCACAACGTATTTCATTTAGTTCACGCAGTATTTCCTCTTTCGGGGTTCAGCAAAATAAACACGTGAAGTAAGAGCACTTTACTTCCATATTTGGCGTATATGGCATCGTGTTATTCCTACCCATTCATTCTTATTAAAAAGATCCATGTATTTCTTTTCTAGTTTCTTTTCCCTGACGCAGATGCCAACTTTTCCTCTTCTTCAACCATGGCTAATGAACTGACCCAACAGTCGGCCTGTGCAGATCAGCCTGAGCTGCTCGACTGGTCTCGGTATCAACATCGAGCGTCTCGCGAAGTACGTTTTATTATTGGGTTTTGGAATCTTGCCAGATTGGTTTTGAGCACAATTTTTGATGTTTTTGGCAAATCGCATTCCGTTTCACTCCATTCCTGAAACGGTGCAATCCGTTGATTTGGTAAGGCATAAACATTCCTGGGGACTCATTTGTCATCTTGTGTCAAAAAGGGATGAATAGAGCATCCATCTTTCGGTCTTCTGTTTGGGTTTTCAACCCTCCGTTAATGGTGATTTTGAGCTCATCACTTTCAGCCCTTCCGCTTTGTTCAGTTGTGTCGGAACACGTCAGCCGATTCCAGTTACTTGATTTTGCATATACAGGTGCCCGTTGTTTTATATCAGCCATAGTGTTATACTCCCATTTATGTACTGTATTTCTTTTTTTCCGTACAGGTTGCTCAGCTCGCTAGCCAACTAAATCTTCCACCTGCCACAAGTTTGACACATCGCCTAGCCGTCCTTCTATGTAATTTGAACTACCTCCAGCCGAACCAGTCTTCAGACAGTCAGCTGGAGATAATGTACAATGAATTCCTGTTAGAACTGAAGCTGCGTCTGGATCGACGGATTAACTTACCCACAGCGAAGGCTTTCGAGGAATCGGAACAGCACTCGATTGCGCTTGATCCAGGCGAAAGGGATGACCGCGCTCCCACTGCAGCTTTCACTTCCAGGCATAATTTTTCTGCCTTCTCCGATCGGGAACGTTGCAATCTTCATTTGATACTGGAGCATTTCAATTTCTACATTGAGAAAGGTTGGTTAGACCCTGCAATAAACAGGCACTCATGACAGACCTACATTTTACAATCGGAGACTCATTTGTCTTTGGTTGTTTTTCTGGTAGCTTTTGTATACGTGATAGAATTTCTATTATAACCCGACTGGTATTCAGTCCCGGTGGTCTCACGAAAGATGAAATTTACACCCGGATTGGGAAGACCAGAGCAGCTTTTGTGAACCTGCGTCACCTGTGGCGTAGGGGTGACATCAGCTTCTCTACCAAGGGTCGAGTTTACAATGCTGCGGTGCGCTCTATATCACTATACGGATCAGAAACCTGGCCGCTGCGCGCTGAGGACTTCCAAAGACTTTCAGTGTTTGACCATCGATGTCTTCGGAGCGTTGCCCGAATAAGGTAGGAACATCGGATCAGCAATTCTGAAGCACGTCGAATGGTATTCGAGGGAAATGACTCACCCTCGGTAGATGAACTGATCACACCGCATAGGTTGCGCTGGCTTGGCCACGTGCTGCGTATGCCAGTCGACCGAATTCCTCGAAAGGCTCTTTTCGCCCAACCACGTGAAGGGTGGAAGAGACCCAGAGGCGGTCAAACAATGACTTGGCAGCGAAGTATGGAAGCATTTACCAGCAAACTCAGCTGCGTTGGTCACTGCCGTCTTCCTGGATGGTGACTCCGAGACGGGCCCCATCCATGGCTAGAGAAAAC